GGCTCGGGGCATTCGGGGCGGGGGGAGCCCGTCACTCACTGCGGGTGCGGCCCCAGCCCGTGATGTAGCAGGGGTAGTTGTTGGGCAGGATGGTGCCCTCCTGGGGCAGCACCGCCAGCTGCACGGCGCTGTTCAGGGTGGCGTAGCCGCTCAGGCGGAACAGGGCGATGTCGTAGCTGCCGGGACGAGGGAGAGGATGTTACACGGACCCCCCCCAAATGCCGGCTGGGCTCCCCCCGAGTGCCCGTCCCGCGGGCGTTACCCCGCGGCCACGTTGTTGCTGTTCCAGTAGGGATGGACGATGATCTTGCTGACGCTGAAGATCTGCTCGCTGCCCTCGTTGCTGTTGAGGTTGTGCTCGCCGGCCACCACACGGTAGTTCAGGTTACTGGCGGCAAGGTGCAAAAACACTCGGTCAGCCCCAAACTCCTCTCACTCCGAGCGAGCGCCGCTGATCCGGGCGGGTCAGAGCGGGGAGAGGATGCTCCCAGAGAAGCCGCACGGAGCCCCTGCCTGAAGAGCCCGAACGCCCTCCAAGGGCGGCTGCTCGGCGTGTCGGGGCAGCCCGAATTTCTGCTTGGAAAGGGTTTTGGGGGAAAGGAGCTCTGCCGAGAGGAGGAGGGGTCCCCGCCGTGCTCACTTGTTGACGCAGTGGGCGGCAGTCATCACCCAGTTCCTCTGGATGAGGGAGCCTCCGCACGTGTGGTACCAGCCGCCCTGGGAGTAATACTGCAGGGAGATCTGGGGAGGGGGCGAGACACGGGCGGGGCTGAGCGCGGGGTCCCGGCTCCAGCAGAGCCCCGGGAGCGGCCGTGGGAGCCGGCAGGACCCACCTGGTAGGGCCAGGCGTGCGAGCGCGCCTCGGTGCCGCCGACCACCCGCTGCACGCCATCGACATCCAGCTCGGAGCAGCGCCCTGGGGACAGAGGGCCGGCGTCAGTCCCCACCGGGGGGTGCGGGGGGGGGGGCGTGTCAGGAGGTGCCGAGGGAGGCCGAAGGCTCCGGGCGGGACTCACCGCACAGGGCGAGCGCGGCGAGGAGCACGAGCTGCAGCATCATCATCATCCTGGAGCGCGGGGTCCGCGGTGGGAGCGAGGCACTGCCCCGCGGGCGCTTTAACGGGGCCGCGGGAGGAGGCGCGGGAAGGGACCCAGGTGTCCCGGCCCCGGCCAGCGGCCTTGGCCCCTGTGCCAAAGCACACACGGCGCCGAGGCCGAGGCCGAGGCACCCCGGGCACACCCCGAGCGTCCCTCGGCTCTGCGGCCCAGGGAGATGCTGCCCTGCGCTGGCACCTCCTGCTCCCGTGTCCCAGAGCCTGTCCCGCCTCGGCTGCTGCTCTGCACGGCCTCGCTTGGTGCGATGGTTCCCAGAGGTTGATCCAGCACTGAGCGGAGCCGCAGCGGCCCCGGCCTGGGGAAATGGAGGCACAAGCCGGGCACGACCTTCAGCCCCTCCCCGAGCCCCCAGCACGGGCAGCGCTGGGGCAGGGCCGGGGCTCGGGCTCCCCGCGGCCTGAGTTTGGGGCACAATGAAGCAGCGATATGCTTTGGAAGAATCCCTGGAGTTTTGGCCAAAACTGTGTCGTTTTTTACCCCTTGAATTACCAATTGAGGCTGTTTTGGTGAGGGCGGGGACTTTGGCCCTCGAGGCACTGGCAAACAGCATTTGGCATCACGGGGCTCATGGGGTGACCCACGTAAAACACCTGAATGAAGTGAAAAGCACCTGCTGCAGTTCTGCCCTTATCTTCAAAGAAAACGTGAGATTTCACAGTTGGTTCTGTCAGCACGACAGATCCCCACGTTTGGGGTCGGCATGTTTGATCTGTCAGCACCAAGGGCACGCGGCCAGGGACAGCAGCAATGGCTCCACCCCACACAGGGACACCCCAATCCAAAACTGATCCCCCGGTTGTGGCACAAAGAGACGTAAACTCAGTTTTGGGCTGAAAATGTGGGATTTGTAGAGTAATGCGATTTTTGGGGTTGTCCTGTGCAGGACCAAGAGGTGGACACAACTTGTGTCCTGTCCAACTCCAGATGTTCCACAACTCCTGGTTCCCAGTGGGTCCCTTCCATCCCAGGATATCCATGATTCCGTGAGTTTGGACACTTGGACAACACTCCTGGATTTTGGGGATCTTTGGATCTGTCCATTGCAGAACCAACAGGTGACCTTTATCATCCTTGTGGGTCCCTTCCAGCTCTGGTTGTTCCATGATCCGAGAGGTCAGGAGCCTTTTTGACAACAACCTTGAACATTGGGGTTTTGTCACTTTTGGGATTGTCTGTGCAGGGCCAGGATGTGGCTCGATGATCCTCACGGGTCCCTCCCGGCGCCGGATCCCGCACATCCCCCCAGCCCCGTGGCCCAGCCCCGTGCTGGGTGCCAGAGGAGCCTTTTGGGGGTTCTGAGGGTTCCGGGGTGCGCAGCGGATGCTGCTTGGCCTCGCCTCCGACTTCCTCCATCAAAACCCTCCAACGGCAGCCGCGGGGCCGCGGGCGGGGCCGGGCCGGGGCCATGGCCGAGGGCAGGAGCGGCAGCGCCGGGCTCTTCGCCAGGCAGGTCCAGAAGCGCTTCAGCCGCGCCCAGGAGAAGGTATGGAGGTGCCACCCACCCTCAAATCCCAGCTTTGCCTGGATTTGTCCTTCTTGTCCACCACAGTGCTCTCGGGGTGGCCCCGATGGCACAGCTCAGCACCCTTGGGTGCTCAGAGGGTGGGAGTTTGGGGGTTTCTGCGTCAATGTCATCCTTGCTCCAAGGCTTTGGAGGATGGCATCTCCCAGAGCTCCCCGAGATACTTTGGCTTCTCTGATGTTGGGGGGTTTTCCATCCAAAACGCCCTGCAGAGGGTACGGGGGGGCTGGGGGGTGGTGGCAGAGGGTCCCTGGGTTGGCTGGCGCTGGGGGTCCCCAGCAGGACCCGGCATGGCCGGGGGTCCCAGGAGTGTTGGTGAGGTCAGCACCGGCCCCACAGGAAGAGAGGGGGAAGGGCTGCGGAAGCGGCACGAGCAGGGCGATCCTCGGCTGCTTCGGGGCTCTCTGGGGGGACCTCCTTCCTTTCCTGTCCCCAAAAAGCAGCCGTGACTCCCCTTTCGGGGGTGACACAAAGACCCCCTCAAACCCTCACCCTCCCGGGTTTCCTGGCCGGGGCTTGGTGCTAAATTCGGCTTTCCCACGGCTCAATCATCCCTGGCCAGGCTCTGGCTGCTTCCTGCACGCAGCAAATCTCCCTCCCAGCCGGTCCCGGCCTCTTCCCGGGGGGCCCAACCTCTTCCTGGACATCCCAAATCTCCCTCTGACCCAGCCCCAGCCTCTTCCTGGACATCCCAAATCTCCCTCTGACCCAGCCCCAGCCTCTTCCTGGACACTCCAAAGCTCCCTGCTCCCAGCCCTGGCCTCTTCCTGTGGGGGTCAAGCCGTTCGTGGACACCCCGAAAGTCCCTCCTGTCTCTTCCTGGGGGGGCTCAGCCTCTTCCTGGACACCTTGAATTTCCCTCATCTGGATTCAGTCATTTTCCAGAGGGTCACCCTCTTCCCGGGCACCCCAAAACTCCTTCATGCCTGGCCCCAGCCTCTTCCCAGGGGAGCTCAGTCTCTCCCTGGACACCCCAAAACTGCCCCAGTCCAGACTCAGCCTCTTCCCGGGAGGCTCAGCCTGGAAACCCCAAATTTTCCCCATCCGGCCCAGCCTCTCTGCTCTCCTTCAGCCTCAGACCCTCCTCATCCTACTCGTGGTGTTCCCTGTGCCCCACAGGCGGGGCTCGGGGTGTTTTGGGGTGCACAGGACTGCACCCACAGGGCTGAGGGTGGGAGGTGGGTCGGCACCCAAAAATTCACCGTTTTCCTGAAAAAAATAAAAGCACTGGGGGACACGGAGAAATTTTGCATTTCCGCACAAATCCTGCCCTGCTGGATCCTCGCGGCCCCTCCGGGGGGTTTTGGGTGTCCGGGGGGCACAGCCCGGTGAACTCGGGGTGTGTGCGGTGGGGGGAGAGCTCTTCCCCTCTCTCTCCATCACAGGTTTTGCAAAAATTGGGCAAGACTGTGGAAACCAAAGACGAGCAATTCGAGCAGAGCGCCTACAACTTCCAGCTGCAGCAGGTGACAGGGGGACACTGGGGACACCCCGAGCAACCCCCGGGGGGCCCTGTCCGCCCCCAGCCCCGGGGACAGCCCTGACCCCCTCTCGCCGCCGTGTTTTGCAGAATGAGGGTCACAAACTCTACAAGGACCTCAAGGGGTTCGTGGGAGCCGTGAGAGGTGCGGAACCGCCCCGGAATGTCCCGGGAAAAGTCGGGAACAGGGAGGGACTCGGGGCGGAGCCAGGATTATAAATAAGGAATAGCAGAGGAAAGAAATCAGGCTTATGATAAATAGATTATTAATTAAAAATCAGTGTTAAATCAAAAGAATAATAAATAAAAATAAATGTTGAGAATAAATAGGTTGTAAGCTACAGATGGATAATAAAGAGAAAATAGGTAATAAAAATACTATACGTGGGATAATAGATAATATATATGAGATACATACTATATATCTTACATATATGACATATGCAATATATATTTTATATCTCATTATGTATAAAATATATATGGGATAATAAAGAGATAAAAATAGTAGAGAGATAATGAAGAGATAACAGCAATAGAGATAATGAAAATAATACATATTAAAGAGATCTTCAAGATAAAATAACAATATAAATTCTGTATGTGGGATAATAAATAATAAATAATAAATAATAAATAATAAATAATAAATAATAAATAATAAATAATAAATATATACGGGATATATATTATATATGGGATATTAAATAGGAAAACAGATAATACATATGTATTGGATATATATGAGATAATAGAGACAATAAATCATTTAAAATAACACATCCGGGCTAATAAACAACAGCAGACAGCAGTGAATAAACCAATAACGGTAAGGAATAAATGAATAAATGAATAAATGAATAAATGAATAAATGAATAAATGATAGCGGTAATGACGGGTACCTGTGCCCGCAGTGATGCACGAGAGCTCCCGCAAAGTGGCCGAGACGCTGCAGGAGATTTACAGCCCTGAGTGGGACGGGCACGGGGAGCTCCGAGCCATCGCCGAAGTGAGCCCTGGGTGTCCCCAAGGGTCCCCTGGAGGTCTGGGGGGGGGGGTCGGAGGGTCCTGGCTGTCACCGCTGTCGCTGTCCCTGTCCCCCCCAGAGCAATGACCTCCTGTGGGATGACTACGAGGCGAAGTTGGCCGACCAAGCCCTGCGGCTCATGGAGAATTACCTGGCTCAGTTCGGGGATTTTAAGGTGCCTCCCTGCGCGGTCGGGCGGGGTTGGGGACAGGGGGGACACGGGGGGTCCTGGCTCACCTGTCCCCCCTCCCCCAGGAGCGCATCGCCAAGCGGGGCCGAAAGCTCGTGGACTACGACAGCGCCCGGCACCACCTGGAGGCTCTGCAGAGCGCCAAGAAAAAGGATGAGGCCAAAATCGCCAAGGTTGGGACTCCCGGGGACGTCCCCGCACAGCCCCCATGTGGGGACAGTGCCCCGGGCGTGGGGACAAAGCCACGGCCCCCCCGTGTCCCTCCCCGCAGGCTGAGGAGGAGTTCAATAAAGCCCAGGCCGTGTTTGAGGACCTGAACAGGGACCTGCGGGAGGAGCTGCCGGTGCTGTACGGCAGGTACGGGGCTGTCACAGCGCTGGGGACACCGCGGGGGCTCGGGGACGTTCGGGGAGCTGGGGGGCACTGCGGGGATTTGGGGACATCAAGGGGCTGGGAGACATCGCGAGGGCTCGGGGACATCGCGGATCGGGGGTTCGGGGACATTGTGGGGCTGGGGGACATCGTGGGGCTCGGCGGGGTCTGAGGGACATTGTGGCACTGGGGGACTCTGCGGGGGCGGGGGGACATTGGGGGACACAGGCATGGGTGACATCGGGGGGGCGAGGTCCCCCCATGGCTGGGAAGAACTTGCGTGGGTCTCTCCTCAAAGTCCACCCTAGGGACACATCGGGGGGGCCTGGGGGACATCGGCCACGGGGGCCTAATGACAGCACGGCATCCATGGGGTGGCCCTGGCCGGGA